AGTAATCTGATCCAAATTGATGAACTTGACCTACACCTATGGATGCAGTAGCTCAAAAGAGGGAACAAATCTTTACAGCAAGGATCATTCCCACGACCTCCATACACAGAGTAGACAGGGATGGGCAACTTGGACATTGGCTAACCAAAATGTGGGGGCTTCAAAGGCAAGAAATGACTGGATTACAAGCTTTCAAGAGGGAATCTAGATCCAGAGAGCGTGGAGGAAGGTAGAATCTCCACTGAGTAGGATCCAATCTGTCTGGGCGGGGCTGATGAAAGGAAATGCAGATAGGTCTCTTGTGATACAATAGTGAATAATTGTTATCAGCACTAACTGTGATGGTTGTAAATGCAAAGGTAGATGTTTTGTAGCAAGGAGGGGAATGATTAACTGCAGTCTAGGAGCGGAGGTCCCTGGGACCATCAAGGGAGAAGAGAGGAGAGTGGAACCCTACCCAGAGAAGCAATGATGTCAGAGATGGAGGTAGAGACGATCAAGTGGAGAGATGGAGCAGCTGGGGACTTTAGACCCAGAGAGGGAGAGGGGCTGTGTGCTGACGACAGGGGTGGTGGGGGGGGGGCAGGCTTTCATTGTATACCTTGTGGTTGGTTGATGATGCGTGGAGGGGATTGTAACCATGGCAATGAAACAATATACGTACGATAGGATGAATGTAAAACTAATGTTCTCCCATGTAAACGATCACATAATTCACAATAAAACATTTAAAAAAAACCAACATGGAATACCAGAAGAAGTAACAAATCTGTCTTGGAAGAAATACAGCTAGAATGCTCGTTAGAAGTCAGGATGACAAGATTTTGTCTCTCACACTTTCGACATGTTATCAGGAGGAACCAGTCCCTGATAAAGTGGAGGTTCAGCAAAAAGGAGGAAGTCCCCAATGAGATGGATTGGCAAAGTGGCAGCAGTAACAGGCTCAAGCGTAACAACTGTTGTGAGGGATGGCGCAGGATTGGGCAGTGTTTCCTTTTGTCGTGCAAAGGGTTGCTATGAGTCAGAATGGACTCAACAGCACTTAACAAAAACAACTCTGTCGCCACAGTCTCCATGCTTCCCGCCGAGTGCTCACTCCGACTGGTGACGGAGCTGCGGGGCGCTCTGGACACTTGCGCTGAGCGACAGCAGCAGCTGGACCGGAGGCTGCGCGGCTGTTGGCGGCTCCTGCGGGACTTGCCTGGCCGGTCACTGGTTCGCACCCAGCTGCCAGGAAGCGGCAGGTGGCCAGCCACGCACGAAACTTCCCTTTCACAGCACGTGCGCCCAGCCCCCAAGACGTCAAGGAGCTGGAGCTCCTGACCCAGGTGCTGGCGAAGGCGGTCTAGGACCGGACAGGGCCACAAGGCCCCCAGCCTGAAACCCAGGACCTCGGCCCCCACTTCGGCCACCAGAGCCTCGACCCCCATCCCAGGCCACAGGTCAGCCTGGCAGCCGTACATCCAAAAGGAAACCCCGCCAGAGTATCCACCACCCCAAGGTGCCGGCCAAGGACCACCAGGACCTCAAATTTCTGCCTGGTGGGCAGAGGACCGCTCAGGGTACAGGAGCCGGAGCCTCTGGGCCCAGCGTTGGGGACTCACAGGTGGCCCCAGAAGCTTTCACGCTCAAAGAGAAGGGGACCCTGCTTCGACTGCCCGTGGTCTTCCAAAGGGCTGTTTCCAAGAATTCCCGGCCTGTCCAGCGGCTCAGGGCTCAGCGCAGCCGAGGTGGAGGCGGAAGTGGAGCACCTGTGGAAGGATTGCTCCCTGCTGAAGCTGTGCATGCGGAATGAGCTGGCCGCAGGCCACACACACTGGCTGCAGGAACATCGCTGTTTGCTCATACTGGAGGGCTTGCAGTCAGTGGTGGGCCAGTGTCTCCACTGCTTTCAGGAGCTGCAGAAAGTGGTGGCAGAAGAACAGCTGGAGCATCGTCCCTCTGGGATGCCCCCTAAGGCCTCACTCCCCTGTGGAGGTGAGGGGGCGGCCAGAAGCCCCCAGCCCCTTCTTTACTCCAGCACCCAGGAGCTGCAGGCGCTGACAGCCCTCAGACTGCGCATAGCCATGCTGGACCAGCAGCGCCACCTGCAGAAGGTCCTGATAGCTGAGCTCCTCCCTCTGGTTAGTGTACCTGGACCACACCACCTTGTCCTGTGCCTGTGCTTGCTCTGTGAAGGGAGCCAATGCTTCCCCTTGGCGCTGCGGGACCAGCCTGCAGACTGAGTCATTTCCGCAAGCTTGTCCTTAGGACTAGGAATTAAGGGTGGAATCTGAATGGGTCTAGGAGAAGTCGCCCCTGATGGCCCTTCTGTAGGCCCCTGGAGCCTGCTTAACATATGAAACTGGCTGCTCCCTTTCCTGCTCTGTTCTTAGGGGGTGAGGCGTCTACAGGATGCCCCCCCCCCCATCTGCTCTCTGCTGTGGATTACATTAAACTCCTTTAGGAAGCAAAAACCAACTCTGTGGCATTTATGGCACACTGATCTATTATCAATTCCATTAAACTCACATGGAACATTTCTTCTAGTGACTTCATTATGTGGTGTTAACTCATAACCGCTTTTGAAGGAATATCTCTGTTTCTTAAAAGATAGGGGTTTTGTGTGTGTGTGTGTGTGTTTAACTTTTTGAGGAACTGATAAAAATTTTCAACAACAGTTGGACCATTTTCTATTCCTGCCAACAAAGGATTGTTGTTGTTGTTAAGTGCCGTCGAGTCGGTTCCGACCCATAGCGACCCTGTACAGGGTTTCCGAGGATGTAAATCTTTACGGGAGTAGAAAGCCTCATCTTTCTCCCGCGGAGTGGCTGGTAGTTTCGAACCGCTGACCAACAAAGGATAAGAGTTCCAATTTCCCCACATCTTCACCAACATTTGCTATTTTCTGTTTTTGGTTAGTTTTTGTTGTTGTTATTGTTTTTAATCTCATTCATTCTATGAGGGTGTGCTGGTATGTCACTAATTTTGATTTGCATCTCCCTAATAGCTGTTTCTCAAAGAGACTTAACATTAGTAACTGATGATGTTGAGCATCTTTTCATGTTTTTGTTGGTTACTTGTATATCCTTTTTGGTGAAATGTCTTTTCAGGTCCTTTGCTTATTGGACTGTTTTCCTTTTTCTTAAGTTGCAGACGTACTTTACAAATCCTGCACACTAGACCTTTGTCAGATATGTAATTCCCCCAAATTTTCTCCCACTCTGAAGGTTGTCTCCTTGCTGAATTAATTTATTAGATCTAGTAACTTTCTTGTGTATTCCTTGGATTCTTTTAAAAATAGGATTAGGTCATATGCAAAAAGGGATGGCATCTTAGTTATCTAGTCCCATACAACAGAAATGCCATATGGTTTTAACAAACAGAAATTTATTCACTCACAATTTAAGAGGCTAGAAGTCTGAATTCAGAACACTGGCTCTGAAGAAAGGTCTTTGTTGCCTTTCAGCATCTGTAGATCCAGCATTCCTTGAAGATATCTATGTGTCTTGGTATCAACCTTTCCCTGGATCTAGGAGCTTCACAATGCAGGAAGCCCAGGTCCAAAGGACACACTCAACTCCCAGCTCTTGGTGGTAGTATGTCCCTCTGAGCAATATTTGCTAGTTTAACCTCTTTTATATCTCAAAAGAGATTGACTCACATTCCTGTAGATTGCATCTAGCAATAATTAACATCATACAAGTGAGGATTTACAATAAATAGGTTAACTGCATCAGATCACAAGGAAAGGAGTAATTACATAATTACATACCTGACAAACCACTGAGAATCATGGACTAGCCAAGTTTACACATATTTTGGAAGAAACAATTCAATCGATGACAGATTATTTTACTTCTTCCTTTCCAATTTGGATGCCTTTTATGAGTCAGCAATATCACTCACAGGTATATACCCAAGAGATTTGAAAACAGTGATGCTAACAGACACATGTACACCAATGTTCATTGTAGCACTATTCACAATAGCCAAAAGGTTGAAAAAATCTAAATTCCCATCAAAGATGAATGAATTTTTTAATGTGATTAATAAATACAATGAAATACTACTCTGAACTAATGAGAAATTAAGTCCTGATACATACTACAACGTGGATGAACTTTGAAAACAGTATAGTGAGTGACATAAATCACAAAAAGACAAATACTGCATTAAGTTTTATTATTAATATGAAACACTTAGAATAGGCAAAGGTATAGTGGTCAGAGTTTAATAGACGTTAACAGGGCAAGAAGGAAGGGAAAGGAGGGAAATCTGTGTTTAGCTAGCACTGAGTTTCTGTTTATAGGGATGAAAAATATGACAATGAATGCTCATAATGGTTGCACAACATGATCGGTGTAATTGGTTTCATTGAATTGCACAAGTGACAAAAGTAGATGTGCTACCTATAATTTTACAACAATAAGAAGAGGGGAAAAAATAAGCCCATTTAAGTTGGTAGCAACGGTGCAGAAATTTTAGACCTCTGTTTTCTTCATTGAAGGAGCCCTGATGGTGCTGTAGCTGCTAACTGAAAAGTCAGTGGTTCTAACCCACCAGCTGCTGGGTGGGAGAAAGATGTGACAATATGCTTCCATAGATATTACAGACTTGGAAACCCCATAGGACAGTTTTACTCTATCTTATAGGAATACTATAAGTTGGAATAGACTCAATGACAAGGGGTTTGTTTGAGTTTTCCTTCAGTGACTATTGTTGTCATTTCTAGGTGCCATGAACTCGATTCCATTCCACTGGTTCTGCATCATCCTCACAATCGTTACATTTGAGTCCATTGCTGAAGCCATTGTGTTAATCCAGCTCACTGGGGGTCTTCCACTTTTTCCCTGCCCCTCTACTTTGCCAGACAAAGGCTAAACCTTCAAAAGTGGTCTGACTTTCCTTCTTCAAAGTCTGTCTTAAACATCTTTCTGGTATTCTCTGCTTCCAGGCAAGATCCATTGATACCAGCAATGATATCCCTCATTTCATGTCCTCTTCTGAATCAGCTTGAATTTCCAGCTGTTTATATACTGTTGCAACCACTTTTGAATTTTCTATGTGCAAAATTAAGTCCTGGTGTGGCACTGTAGGATAAGCAGTAGACTGCAAAGTCCATTTGAATTGCAAGGTAGGAGGTTTAAACTCACCAGACACTCCTCAGAAACCTTATAATGGGTCGCTGAATCAGAAACGACTATACTGCACCAAACAACAGCATGGGAAAAATATAGAATGATGCAGAAAACACCAAAAGAAGATGGAAGGAATACACAGTCATTGTACCAAAAAGAAATGATCGTTGTTCAAGCATTTCAAAAGGTACTATATGATCAGGAACTGATGGTATTGAAGGAAGAAGTCCAGGCTGCACTGAACCAATTGGACCCATAAATAATATCATGATAAATGGAGAAAAGATTGATGTTGTCAAATAGTTCATTTTGCTTGGATCCACAATCAACACTCATGGAAACAGCAGTGAAAAAAATCAAACGTATTTTATTAGGCAAATTTGCTGCACAAGACCTCTTTTGAATGTTCAAGAGCAAAGATACGAGTTTGAGTACTAAAGTGTGTCTGGCCCAATCCATGGCCTTTTCAATCATCTTATATGCATGTGGGAAGAGCACACTCAGCATTTCTCAAACTGAAAGAACTGCAGAAAAAATTCAAGTCTCAACTTGCAATATTGAATGATTCTATGGGCAAAATATTAAATGATGCAGAAAGCATCAAAAGATGATGGGAAGTATACAAAGAGTCAATGTACCAAAAAGAAATGGTTGATGTTCCATCATTTCAAGAGCTGGTATATGATCAAGAACCAATGGTACTGAAGGGAGAAGTCCAAGTTGAACTGAAGGCATTGGTGAAAAACAAGGATCCAGGAATTGAAGGTATACAAATTGAAATCTAATTGAAAACAAACTAATGCAGCACTGGAGGTGCTCATTCATCTATGCCAAGAAATTTGGATGACATGGCAACCTGATTAGAGGAGGTTCGTATTTGTGTCCATTCCAAAGAAAGGTGACACAATGGAATGCAGAAATCATCAAACAATATCATTAATATCACATGGAAGTAAAATTTTGCTGAAGATAATTCAAAAATGAATACAACAGTACATTGACAAGAACTGCCAGAAATTCAAGCCGGATTCATAAGAGGATGTGGAACGAAGGACATTAGATGGATCTTTGCTGAAAATGGAGAACACCAGAAAGATGTTTACTTGTGCTTTATTGGATATGCAAAGGCTTTTTGATATGTGGTTCATGAAAAAATATGGCTAACATTGTGAAAAATGGGTATTAGAGAATACTTAATTGTGCTTGTGAGGAACCTGGACATAGAGTAAGAGATATTTGAACAGAACAAGGAGCTACTGAATGGATTAAAATCAGGAAAAGTGTGTGCCACAGTTACATTCTTTCACCATACTTATTCAACCTGTATGCTCAGGGCCAGAAAATCTTTTTAAGAAAGAAAAAGTAATGGAACCAAATGAAAAGAATTCAAGAGTGCTATCTAGGTATTTTCAAAGGATTGACAGAATGATCGAGGAAAGCAAAGAGAACACAGAAAAAAACTTTAGAAAAATCATGAAAAGACTATAAAAACATACAAACAAATGAAAAATTTGAAACAATACAAACCTGTGATTGAAAATCCAGAAGATTAATACTAAGTTTTCAGTAATGAACACAACAACCAAAGGAATAGATTTGAAGCAATGGAAGCCAAAAGACAAATCTCTCAATACTAGTGTGCTCAAAGACTGGTCAGAAAAAGAATGAAAGAATCTGAAGAAAGCCTAAGAGTTATGTGGGATACCATGAAGTAGAACAACTTATTGGTGATCAGAATTCCAGAACAGGAAAAAATAATAAAAAGCATTGAGAAAAGTATCAAAGAGTTGTTGGAAGAAAATTTTCTAACACCATGAAAGATGAAAAGATAAACATACAAGAAGTTGAACAAACCCCAAAGAGGATAGATCCCAAAAGAAAATCACCAAAACATATCATAATCAAACTTTCTGAAATCACAAACAAGGAAGCAATCCTGAAAGCAACTCATGAAAATAAGACTAAGCTCTGATTTCTCAGCAGAAACCATGTAGGCAAGAAGG